GAGGCTGGCTTTGAACTCACAATCCTCCTGCCTCAGCCTCCTGAGCTGCTGAGATTACAGGCATATGCCACTGTACCTGGCAATCTATGCAATTTTGATGAGTGGTATACCAGATGCCAAGGTTTCTCTGGAGACGTGATTTATTTTAAGGTGGGTAAGAGAAACTTTTTTCATGTAGATAGAAGAACATATGCAAAGCCTTTCAGGCCAGAGGAGTTTATATATTTCAGAAGATCATGTGTTTAGAATTCAAAGAGCAAGGAGGCAGTGTTCTGAGATGAGAAGTGGTGAGGCAGTTATGTCCTGTCATAAAGAACTACATTGGTTATGTAGAGGTGTTTGGAGTGTACCTCACCTTTTCTCATATCACAAGTGCTGGTAAAATAGCTTTTTACAGGTACATTTTTATCTAAATGTAATATGTTAAGTTCTGATAAAAACTAAACTACTACATGGAGAGATCCTGTATCCATTCCTTCCAGAAGTAACTAGCATACATTTACATCATTGTACCTGTCTTAGAAGTATTCAAGGAAAGGTTGAATTCACCATAAATAACCAGGTTTATTTTGAAATGAAGCTTAAATAAAAGTAAGTTTTCCAAATTAAGGTTTTTAAAAATCATTGTTTTCTGCAAATCTACTTAATGAAGCTTTGGGAGATAGTCATGTACATGTGTTTATTTATTATATTAGGCAACTAGAGGTTACTATTATTTTTCTTTTTCTTGTAAATTGGTTGAGAAATCATAGTCACATTACAAAGTATAAGTCATTGAGATACCTGTTAGCCACAGACAATCCCTGTAATGAAATTTGTCAGTGCACTAAATAGGAAGTGTGCATATGATATGATCTCTGTGCAACTGACATGATCTTGTATTTTGTTAGTCATTTTGGCTATTATATTGGGAAGTTTTCAAAAGATTTGAAGACTTCTTGTGAATGGGAAGAAAATGTTTTACTCTCGAGGTGACATTGCTAGTTATAACTGTGAAAAATGATAAAAAGGCTGTTATATTTTTTCTCTGTGGTAGGAAACAAAAAACTTTAATCACCCTATAGTTTTTGTCAAGATATATATTTTCCCATTAAAGTTGACTGACATACTGAAAAAACAGAATTACAGTAGAACTTCTGAACTAGTTTCATAGGAAATTCCTACTACACAAAGAATCACAGTGACCACTTGCAAAGCTAATATTCTGTAGTAGTTTAACTATTTTAAATATGAGCTAAAACTCTAAAATACTCTAAATTTTCAAGAATACATTTGATGTAATATTTATAAGCATTGCTATTAGTCTCAAAATTTTTATTGCTTGGCACTTATAACTGAAAAGGTTCTTAAGTCTTGATTTAGTTTTATCTAAATGTTACTAAATTTTAAATTATAAAGATTTAATCAGTTTTTATAAGCATCAAGGCATGTGTAAATATTATTGTATAATTCTACTGAAGATTCATAGAGTTGACACAGAGAGAGTGAACTGTATATAAATGTTCTCAGTGGAGATTACACTGTCTTTGCGTTTTGTTTGTAGTAGTTATGGTGATTAATGAACCACTGTGTCCAGCTTCAGAATCATACTCCGCCCCCCCCCCCCCATGGTAAGGGATGATCTTTTTTGCTATACAACACATTTGTTCAGTTTTCTGAAACCATAATAATTCAGAGAATTTGCTGACAGTGAGGTATATATCTAGAAGTGTATGAATTGTGTTATCAGGTGAGCCCTGCTAATATAGGAACAGAGGAAGACTTGGACCTAATAATATCCTCACTGTCTTATTTTGGGTTGTCTATACTTGAAGAAACTATGATATCTTATTAAAGATTTTTCTTCTTTTCTCATTAACCATGGGGATTATTTTATTTTTTTTAGTTGAATTTACCCAAAGGAACTTGCATATTTGGAACTCAATAATGTTCTCTTGTTATAAACATTAATATTTAATATACTGAGCATATTATTGAATATTATTAATTATAAACTATGGGCACTACCCAATCAGAAGGCCAGTAGAAATAAACATAAAACAAAATGGTATGCTGACCAAGGCCCTGAGTAACAGTCCTGATTGATATTCATTTCATCAACTTCCTTGACCTAATTAAGAACAGTTTTGATTACTACAGGTTTGTAGCGGATCTGTTTTTTTATGTAAAAATAAAATGTTCCAAGATAAATTTTTCATATGTGAAAGAATATTAGTTAATATTTTTTGATACAACTAAGAAGTTAAAAATATGGTGAAGCTCTTGAAGCCAGTGCCAGAAACCTATTAATCTTTGCAATTTAAGCCAGTGTTGATCTGTGGGACACAATGTGGATGGTTTTAGTAACTGTGAAAAATGTCACTATTCTCTGGGGAATTTAGATACAAACTATTGTGATACAAAACAAATGGTTAGCTTTATCTTCTAAATTCATTGCTGTGCATGTTCCTTTTTGACTATTTGAAAATAACAGAGACCCTTGCATTTTTATCTATGTCTGTATACCATTTTTTCTGAAATACATGGCATGATCCTTTAGCTAAATTGGAAAACGAAAAAACAAACAAACAAGCAAAAAAAAAACAAAAAACAAAGAGATGCCTTGGTACTTGCTATCTTGCTATACAGGTCAGGTAAAAATGCAAATAAAATAATATAGCCTCAATTAATTTTATTCAAATCTTGTTATTTATCTTGGGAATAATTTAATTTCTAAATTATTGAATAATTAGTAAAGAAAACACACTCCTGAATCACTCAATTTTTTATTTATCTTCATAGACATATTTATTAATTATCATTGTTGTTTGAAGTGATAATTATTATTACCCCATTTTATGTCTGTAATAATGTAATAAATAAATAAACAGCAGTTTTGAGGACTGACTGACTATTGGCCAGATATTTTGCTTACCACTTCATATGTGCTAATTTATTCAAATTTTGAACAAGTCCAGAGAAAGTAGTTGTAAAATGAGTTATTATCATTTTTTACATGAGGAAATAGATAGATACATAATCAGAGTTAAAGAAATGGTAAGAAGTACGTGGGTCTGGGATAAATTAACCTAAGTGCATTTACAAAATAAGATTTTCCCCTTACTAATAGAATGTATTTAATAATAAGTAATGTTTCTGTGCCCATTGTAACTCAGGCAGTCTTATAAGGACTTCATATATATGTTAGGTTAGATTTGTTTTGAAACTATCATCTGTTCTTGTTAATCTGTATTTTGTCAGTTTAGAAGAAGCTGACTTTCAGGAGAAATGAGCTCTTTGTTTTTGAGTCTTTTCCTTCTACTCTCTTAAATTTTCCAAGTGGGGTCCATAAATTAGACTGAAAAAAGGCAGATTTACAAGAGAAATACAAACAAGTTTATTAATATGTGCATTGCACATACACACAGGAGCACTCAGAAATGAGTCAATCAGAGGCATGGTCAGCATGGGGCTTAGATAGCATCTTATCATTTTAACAAAAGAACAATAAATTTTTAGAAAAGTAACCTAATACAGAGACTTTGAGTTTCTAGGACATCAAAGTGTGGCATGGTGAATATATGGGGCAAAAAATGGGAGAAAAGCGTTAGTCAGGTTAGCTACATGGATTCCTCTGCTGCCTTATCCTGACTCATGAGAATATAAGGTTGTCTTCAGTAATTAACTCATATCCTTCCTGGTGGAAAGAGGAGAGGAACACCTTTGTAAATGTATATCTGATTTTATGTAAAGGTGGAAGACAAAGAACTATTCTTATATCAATTTCTCAGTTGCCTTCAGTCCAAAATGATCCTTAAGCTAAAGGGGACATTTTTGGGGGTGGAATATGTTGCTTCCCTTCACCTGCTAATTCCATCATAGAATTATACATTTCCTGTTTTGTTTCACTTTTTTAAATAAATCTGTCCGTGATTAACATGGGGCAAGTGTCAGTTATACTCCTGGGCACCAGTATTTTCCATATGTAAAATGAAGGGTTTGGTGTTCTGGTTGGTGGATAGATGCCGCAGTCTGGCTGGGCACAAATGCCGCAGTCTGGCTGGGCACACAATCACGAGCCACCACATAGCTTGTAGATTCAAACAGCAACTCTTTATTCCCGAACTCACACCAGCCGTCCACAATCACATTCTGGGGAAATCCATGTTCTCTGCCCAAATCCACCCCCACTGGGCTTCTGTCTCCCAAAAAATACTGTCTGAATCCCGTGAGAACTCAAGGGGAACTCAGGCAGCAGCATACGCCCTATTTGCAGCAGGAATAATCTTAAACCTGGAACCACCCTAAACCCGGATAGTCCTAAACCGGGAACGCCCTAAACTCCGAATCATCCTAAACCGGGAACACCCTAAACCCGGTTCCGCCCTGGTCCTTGAGCAAGGTCACCTACATGCAATGTCACTGCAAAATGTCCTATTTCCACGAGTCCTTCCACTAAGCAACATGGGGTACGCTGGCAAGGAAATTGTCATACCTGCTTGGCTAATGGCTCCCAGCAGATAGATACTCAAAAATTCAGCTCTAAAATTTTAAAGGTTGGCAGGACAATGAATAGCTTTCTTAATCACTAAAATTGTTATTGATTTATTTATAATTCAATAAATACCAAATATATTTTGTCACAATGTTTGCTGCTTAAGCTTTTCCTTTCAGTTAATTTTCGTTACTAGAACCACAAATATGAAATTTTTCTTCCAGTGATATTTTTGTTGAATCTCAGAATTTTTAAATGAGTTAACTAAGCATCATGTGTACATGAAATGATAATTAAAGAATGATCATATTCTAAAACAGTAATTGTCATTGAATCTTGCCACTAAATATACAATTAAGTCATTTCAAAATGTATGCAGAAGATCTGACTATTTTCAAGCCTACTATGAAGAAATTATGAGGTTCACAAAATGTTTTTTCCTAGCATACTATAGACATTAATATACAACTTTGGAAACACCCTAAACATGCTACATTATAAATTTGTTCTTTTTTTTCCTTGTTAGGAATCTTTCCCTGAAATTAACAAAAGAAGATCAGGAATCCAGGTGTTCCCATATAAGCCGAATGCCCAGCAGTCCATCAACAGATTGGCCCCTACAAGGTGTGGAAGAAAATGGGGGCATAGATTCTCTGCCTTTCAGACTGATGTTACAGGACTGCACAGCAGTAAAGACGTTATTATTAAAGATGAAGAGAGTTCTTCAAGAGGTAATGGTTTACTCTAAGATTAATGACTTTTAGTGCTGGCAGACAATGAGGTCTTAGAAGTGCTTAGACTCTACTCTGTCAGTAATTAACTATGTGACATGGGGCAAGGGTCAGTTATATTCCTGGGCACCAGTATTTTCCATATGTCAAATGAAGGGTTTGGTGTTCTAGTTTGTAGATAGATACTCAAAAATTCAGCTCTAAAATTTTAAGGTTCTATGAAAGAAAAAAATTGATGCTAAGGTTCCCCTTACTGAAGGTGAGGAGGTGATATTGGCATCAGTTATAAAATTATATGTGTGTGTGTTGTGTGTGTGTGTGTATATTTTTTTAACAAAGCTTTTGAGAGATCTATTAAATGTACTTATTGTTAATGATAGTGGGACTTTGCTTATATGATACCATAAAAGTATATTTTTGTACCAAAAATAATCAACCCAGGAAAATTAAATCTGAAGGTTTGAATGATTTTGTCCATTGAGTACATTTACCCTCGCAAACCTAGGCTCAGTTACTCAAATGTTGAGCATGTCAAGGAAATGTAATAGGATTATTTTACCTTTCTTCCAAGAGTTAGACATTCAAATATGTTATGGTATCAAGGTATAATTATAATATTTATATTTTTGAAAATTTCTATAAAATATATGTACACTAATACTACTTTATAATATGCAGAATTTCAGTGATTTTAAATTAATTACTCTAATAAGTATGACTTCAAAACAATAGCCTGAGATTTGTGACTTCATATTCAAAGACTTTTATTACATAATATTACCTTTCAATAGATTTGTCTTTATTAATAGGTGAGTCTAATGGTATGAGAACAAAAGATACTTATTATTTAGGAGAAATATTATCATTGTTAAAGGGCTAGGCAGAAGCCTGAATCTTGAGATCCCAACTGACTGGATTCAGTCAACAGCCCACATTGAGAGTAAGGGAAAATTACATAAAACAGAAAAATGAATTTATTAGAACTTTGCACAAACTGGGAAGACAGCTAGTCTTCCTTCTCCTAACCCACAGAAACATTCTATTTTTTAGAAGGGATCATTAATGGATAACAATTGCCAAGAAAGATCATGTGTCAATTCAGCCAGCCTGTGTACCCTGGAGTGGAACCTTGAGATATGTTGAATTCTGGTTTCCTGGTCCTTCTGCATCCTGTTATTTCCAAGGGACTTGTCTTTGAACTGTTGCAGCAATTTCAGCATCTTTGCTCAGCATGAAATGGCTGTCTGTGGTATGCAGGGTTGGAGAAAAGAGCTTCAAGAACAGGTTGGCAGGACAACGACTATCCCTGAGAAAACAATTGAGACTTAATTGAAAATGCCCAATTTTAAGGGAGTCCATTATGTTATGACTGCCTTATAATAATGATTACTAACTTTTAACATTTATTATCAAATAGTAATTCTAGTAACTTTACTGGGGACCAGAATTGAATCAGGGAGAAGATAGGTAATCTAAATGAAATGATTATATAGGCTATTGGAGGCATCTAGTGATGTGTTCTCATTTGCCAATATAAATACATACTGGAGAAGGTCTTTTTTGTGTTTGTGTGTCCCATACATGTATATGTCACTGGGGTGGTCTTTGTGCCTAAACTTTATAAAGTAATATGTTAGAATATGCTAGAGTTTTATATAAACATATAATATATATTATATATATGATTTGTGTATTCATATATTTATATATAATTATATATGTATAATTCTATAATTAATAGATATATAATTTTTATATATAATTTTTATATATCTATTAATTATAGAATTAAACATATATAAAACTGATCTCTGAGAATTTCAGTAACTTTGTGAGCTGGTGGTTAAGAAAAGGAATAAAACTAAATTGAATAAACTTAACACTGAACAAATTATATTTTTAAAAGGTTAATCAGCATTCAAAACTCATTTCCTCTTTATTTTATTACTGTATGTACTTGCAAACTTCTATACACTATTGGAGTTGTATGGTAAACTTCTATATAATAGCAGCCAAGCATCCTTCCACTTGTACATTCATTTATATCATTTTGATAGCTCAAAACCAGCCATGTAGGAGTATTTATGCCATGGAAATTGGCAAACAACACAAATTAGGGCTTTTTATTTTTGGCAAGTCTGCTGTTAAATATTTACCAGCCAACGCTATGTCTGACTACATGGTTTCTCTACTGACAGCACAATATTTTTAAGCACATGAATAGGTAAGACAGAATCTCCCCAACCTCTGGCTTAACATGCACTCTGAACCTCTTTGAACAAGACAAACTTAATATCACTTTTTTTTTTTTAATAAGAAGTTAGTAATCTTAAAGTCTGTAACATTTCCCTATTTAACTTTCTACCTGTCTCTTTGGAATGGATTTTAATAATAAATCAATACCAGTAAAAGGGAAGTAGGAAGAACCAATAGGAAGAGTTGAGAGATGTTCTGAGGGTACTTAATTTCACAATTTTGAACTATTTAGTGATATTCACTATAGAAGAAATTCTAAGAATTTAGTGAGATTGTTTTTATATTTCCATTCATTTTCTCCCTTAAACAGAACTAAATAGAATTGAGTTTTAAAGTGATGTTTGATTAGTAATGATTATACATGTTTGTGCAGCTAATTCAGATTAGTTTTTATTGCAAATAAGTAAAAGCAATTTGCGGCGGGGGTATGGAAAATTGAACTCAGGGGCACTTAACTACTAAGCTACATCCCCACCCATTTTTTGTATTTTATTTAGAGACAGGGTCTCCCTGAGTTGCTTCCTCACTAAGTTGCTGAGGCTGACTTTGAACTTGAGATTCTCCTGCCTCAGCCTCCAAAGCTGCTGGGATTACAGGAGTGGGCCACCATGCCTGGCAAGTAAAAGCAATTTTATTATGATTAGCATAGACAACTGTTTTAAAAATAAGATATTCATAATAGATATCTTTAAAAATCATCAATTGATTTATTCTCTAAGCTAAAAATTTTTAAACTACAAATCAAATTTCATTAGTTTATTTGAGTTCACTACAAATTATTCATCTTTGATTAAAATATCTTTTTAATAAAAGTCCAACTTTTGTAAGCAAATTATTTTGTAACTGTGAGAAATCCTTATTATTTATTTTTAAACTAAATTAAGTACTTAATTTTAATACATCTCAGCATAATATGTCCTTGTTTGAGTTTTTATCTTGTTTATGAGTTTCACAAAAGGTTCTTTTGAAATACACTGATACTTTAGTTATCTTTTAGTAACTCTTCTTTTAATAGCATTTTATCACATAGGTATTTGTTCAAACCATATCAATCCCCTCCTTAACCCCATTCTAATAACATTCCTTAAAATTTTGCCTTACAAACTAATATATATGGGTACATTATATAATAAAGTATCCTTAAAAAGCAAATTAATAGAAAAAAATTGGATTTCAAGTCTTAAGTATTGATTTTATATATTAATTTTCATTGATCTCTTTGAAACCTGTTACTTGATAGAATGCAATGCATTTATGACATTTTCAATTTAGTAAATAAAGATTTTCTCTCTGACAAAAATAAAATTATCATTTGTTATTTTGAGGGGACATATACATGTTTCATTTGAAAATATTCAGATCTGTTGGGTGGGTTGGCACATGCCTGTAATCTCAGCTATTCAGGAGGCTGAACCAGGAAGATCCAAGTGTGGAATCAACCTTGTCAACTTAATGAGACCCTGTCCAAAAATAAAAAAATTAAAGAGTTAGGGAAGCAGCTTAGTGAGAAATCACCCCTGTGTTCAATCTCCAGTACTTAAAAAAAATCTTCTTTTGGTAAAGTATCACATTTGAAATGATTTTTGCAGGTTTTTTAAAAATTTTTTTTATTGGCTAACTGCCTTGGATGCCATTAAAATTCTAAATTCAATTAGCTCATTCAGAATGTTTTCCCTTTTAGCTAATTTGTCTTTAACTGGTATTTCATTATTCATTTTCCTACCAACTTTGGGTTTTACAAAAAAAAATGTTCATCTATTAATTTATTCTGGGGATTAGTAATTTCTCTAGTTTGTGCTGTCATCATAGCAACATAAATAATACTTAACTAATCCTGCTTTGTGAATTATATTTGCTATGCTAATGTATAATATGGACTTTCAGTTAAATATAATTTTTAAAGTGAATATAACAGGGAAAAAGGAATACACAAGTGTGTTTGTGTCTGAATCACTTCAAGATAGGAACCAGCTATGGAGGTAACTAATAACTGAAGCTCTGAAGAATCTTCTTCAGCAAGCCTATTGTTGGGTCCAAGCATGTGAATGCTAAAGGCTTTCTAAGTGATTCTTCCACAAATCCTGGAATAGAAGCACTGGGCAAGGACATTGTATTATAGAGTGTATACATTAAACACACTTGCCCTAAATACTTTTCAAAATTGCCACTCTTTTTCAACTGTTCATACATGAGTGATGTCCCAGTTTCTGTAGTACTTTCAGAATTGTTCTAATTTTCCCACCTACCAAACCAGTTTCCTCATTGCAGTCAGACAAAAATAAATATATGATCATGTCACTCTCCTTTCTATAACTCTTTGAATATTTCATAATTGTCTTTATAATTTTCTTAGTAGCTTCCATGACAGCCTACATTTCCTAGCAGCTTAAACTATTTATCCTTCTTCATAGTAACCATAAATCTTCTCTTTTCCAATGAGACTCTAAGGTGCCTAAAGAGAATGGTTTTATAATCTTGTCCCTTGTTGTGTCTTCCAAACCTATCATATATTTGCTGCTTAATATACAAATGAAAGGAAAATACATTCCATTCAGATTCTAGCCTGCCTTTAAAGAATTGTTAATGGGATATAAATGATAAACTTGAATGCCTGATGGAATAAAGATCAAATTAAGTATATAGCAGGTTTTCCTCATTTAAAAGAAATATAGACTAAGCTTTTCAAATGAAGTCACACAGTGATAATTACTAGATTTGATTTAATCAAGACCCTGAGAAGTGCG